AAATACAGGGTTAGTCCCCAGGGGTCACCCCCACCCCCTGCAATTTGAGAAAGTTCTAATATCTTGTAAATGGTTGAGATCCCCACCCATAAACCATATATATTCCTATTTGTCATGTCTCGAACATTTGAATGACGTATACGGTCAGTCCTCAGGGGTCCCCCCCCCCCCCCCCCCCACCCCCAATGTTCTAATATTTTGTAAATGGTTGAGATCCCCACCCCTAAACCATATATATTCCTGTTCGTCATGTAATGAACATTTGAATGACGTATAGGGCCAGTCCCCAGGGGTTCCTCCCCACCCCCAATGTTCTAGTATCTTGTAAATGGTCGAGATCCCCACCCCTAAACCATATATATTCTGGTTTGTCATGCCAAGATGATTTGAATGATATACAAGGTTAGTCCCAAGGCATCACTAATGCATATAACTTTACTGGACCAAACCAATTTTCACTGGAAGTTGCCCAATGTCAGGCGACCCTGGGAATTACGAATTATGGGAGCTTCGTTTGGGAGACTTCGTAACAGCATCCTGTTACATTCATTTCTTGTTTTATTATATGTGTGTTCAGATTTCTGAGAGAATGGGGCTTATGTTGTCATTATGCTGTTAATTTCTGTCATATATATTTAAGAATTAACAATGAGCAAATATGCAAGCACCTGAACAGTTATACTTATAACAATTGACAAGACAGTTGACTGAGTATGTACTTTGAAAAAAAAAACCTATTGTCTGGTATTGTGGTTAATCAAGGTTGTTAAATGCCAACGTAACAGTATGTGCCTGGTCATTTCAATAATCTGAATCATAGTTGCAGATCAAAAATCAGGATGTGAATACAAAATTTACATTATAACTGGTTTTTCAGGGTGTGCAAAAGAGGGGAGAAAGATACCAGAGGGACAGTCAAACTCATAGATCGAAAATAAACTGACAACGCCATGGCTAAAAAATGAAAAGACAAACAGACAAATTTTGTGTGATGGTTTCCCAAAAAAAATCCTTGAATTTTGCAGTTGCTTCTTAGTCTATACATCCCAAAAAAATGCTTTTCAGATTTTTAACTGAAATTTGGTTTGATAGTATCCCAGGTGTTGAAGAATACCTTTATTGATTTTGAGGTAACCTGGTCAAAGGTCAAGGTCTTGGCAGCATTTGGTAGACTAAAATTTGTGTAAAATATTAGTTTTTAGATGCCATCTTTTAAGCAATGTCCAACCTTCAGCAACCTAAACTGGAAAATGATCCTTTGAATAATTTAACAAGCCCTGTTGATTTTTGGGTCATTGGGTCAAATGTCATGGTCACATTTGATAAAAAGACTGAAAATTTGGAAAAAAAATGGGTTTCTAGACAAGAGTGTTTGCCCTTTACCACATTTTCTTATAATTTTAGTGTGTCATGATTTATTCATTTTTCTCAATTATTATAAGTACTAGGTCAACTATATTGATGTGTAAAATGATTTTAAGGAATACATATCTGACAGGATTCATCTGACCATGACCCTCATTTGCATGATTTATTAATCAATGCTATATTTTTGTTTAACAGTTATTTTCTCAAATACCAGTAATTTACATAAAAGGTTATGGGTTATTGGGCAAAGTGAAGTTTAATATGTTTACATCAAATTCTCAGTTTTACTAAGTAATAGGTCAACTATATTTGGTGTAAAGAATGACTTATGGCCTGGCTCAGGCATGCTATTCCCATCACTTGGCACCAGTCATCTTAAACTTTTTTTAAATCTTCTCTGAAACCACTGAACCAATATAAAAAATTTATTCTGGTACATGGATCATGTCTGTCTGACCTTGACCTCATTTTCATGGATCATTGATAATGGTTAGCACTTATGAGACCTTGATCTAGAATACCTTCAATATAAAATTAACAATTAAATCAAACATTAAGGCATTTCAATGTGTGTTTGTTTTTAATTTTGTAACAATATCTGTCAGAATATAATTGCTATAAAAAAAATGGAAGTAAAAATGATGTCTTCATCATGAAGTTCACGTATCTATGTTTATGGCATATTAAATTCTCAGGAATGTCATCAATTCAAGAGTTCAAGGGTCTGTTAAGAAATCATATTACAATATTTAATCAACATTAAACATTGATGTTAGTTACTGAGACATAGAATATCTTTTTTTCATTAATTATTGTGCTTTATCCTGAATTTGAATGACAGTAAACTGATTTAATATACTTGTGTTATTAAGTTGATAACAAATCATCCCTTACTTTGGAGGGTTGAAGTCAGTCAGGTAATTGGTTCATGCTTTGTGTTGTTTTCAATGAAGTTCAGATCTAAACACAGAACAGGACAATTTTGATACTTTGTCAATAGATACAGTTTGGAGAGGAGGTAAAAAGCAACCCAAATTTTATAACTTTGACTCGTGCTTCCTGTATAATAAGTAATTCTTGTCAACTTACGACAAGTAATGCTCTAAGGACAGGCCTGTGTTTTACAAAAAAAATCATGCTACTTAAATTGATTGTAAGTATACTGAATTATTCATGACTTATGATCAATTTTAGTCATAAGAAATTTTTGTGAAAATGCATGCCAGAAATAAACAACTACAACTTTGTATAGGTAAAATATATTTTTAATAGTGGACATATCTTTGGATGAGATGAATGTCACCTGAATTAAAAGTTATCCCATGCTGTTGAGAATATGAGTCAATATTATGTATTGTTGCTGCAATTTGGTTTGGTAACTGCAATAAACCCCATACTTATCAATAGATGTTTACCTGAAGGCTGAAATATTCATATAATCACATATTTTTGTATGTAGCTGTAACTCTTTTCTCTCAGTTTTAAATCCTGGATTTGCAACTGATAAACTACCTATGATTAAACAGAAAGCATTGAATAGACAATTTCATGATATATTCCAAGTATGCCAGTTAATGATTCCCCCTTCATACACACACACATACACAATACATTGACATATACAGGAAAGTAAAGTAATTTCCTTGTGGACTCAGCCTACTTTCAAATTTACCATGAGAGAGTTTATTCAATGAAACTTCTACATGAATACCATATAATAGAAGCAAAGATAGAACATGTACATGGTGGGGAAAGGTTTTTGAACTGCACATATGTACCACATAACAAACAATATGTTCTCACTAATATATATGGAATGGGACTTTAGTGCTAACACATCCAAAGTTTAGAACACCTCACTGTTTATGGCGGTCCGTATTCAGGTATGTTGAGCACCGTAGGCCTTGGATTATATATTCAGAAACATCATCTTGCTTGTATATAACATTATACTCCATATACATCTGGTTGTTCCATTTTCTTCCATGCAAATAATATCAGCTGTTCTGTTGCATTTGCCTATGTAAGATATCAAGGAATTTCCTTTTGATTATATAAGACAAAAAATTTAAAATTAAACAATACCTGGTTATTTATTTAACTCTCCTGTTGACAGTGCAAAGTGTAAAATTTTATATTTACCACTGAATATCACAATTAAAAACAAATTCAAAAATTTATATTATATCCACCCGATATATGTTTCTTGACTGACAGTATGCCTCCAGTTCCTGTATGGGATGTATCAAATATGTAACTCATGTCGGGAGAGTGCATTGCCTCTAGAAAGAAAAAGACCCTTCCTGCATTATTTGTGAATAATTGGCTTATTGAAGTCAGATGCTTAGCCTAAATTGGGCTTATTGAGGTCAGATGCTTAGCCTAAATTGGGCTTATTGAGGTCAGACGCTTAGCATTAATTTGGCTTATTGAGGTCAGATGCTTAGCCTAAATTGTTGGATCCTCTTAAGACCCTCTATAATTCCTGTGGTAATCAAAATGTGTTCCACTTGTATTTCCTATCCCCTCACCTTTTTATTTTATATTCACTTTATGTCATAAACATCATTTTCATCGCCTTGATATAGCCTTCTTGTGCTGCAGGGGCATAAAACACCAGCAAGCAATCAGTCGTTAAATAGTGTGGTCATCCAATAATGTAAATAGTGTGGTCATCCAATAATGTAAATAGTGTGGTCATCCAATAATGATCTTCTGTTAAAGAGATAGATGTGTAAGAAAGAGGAAGAAAAGTTATCCATGAAACCAATATTCTTATTTCAAATTATATGGTTAAATTCAAAATTAGGAAAACAAATTATATTATTTTTAATGGAAAATTCATTTTGTGAATAAACTCTATCATAATGAATGATGAATAAATAAAGGTCACATTGTAAGCATAAAAACATTGGCAACAAAAGTTTTGTTCAAACAAGGATTTTTTATTCTTAATAGTTTTCATATTTTTGAAATAAAAGTCCTAACTCCTTTTAAGAAGTTTGTCTTTTTGCAGTATTGTTTACTGTTTTAACATTAAAGCTTGGCGGGAATTTGCACATAACTCATCCTCTCAGACAACAATGCCTTGTTGAACCTAACCCAGATGAGCCTTCTTATAAAATTATATATGATGATTAAGCTGACAAAACAATATGGTAGTCATGATATCAACAGAAGTGTTCATTGATTATAGCATGGAAACATATATTTTGTTATTTTTATTTTGCCATGTATTATACAAGCGACCCGATCAATATATGGTAAGATATAGGCTCTGTTATACTATGTTTGGTTATACATGTGGCAAATCCTAGAAATATTCAATGAGTGTACAGATATACCTATGATATGAGTAACATTATTAAAAATGCTTAAAAATGGAATATTTTTAAATGAAAATAGGTATGATGTAGTATATTATTATTTCAAACTACATTTTAATAAAAAAAAACATGACAGATTAAATTGAAAGCTTAAAAATATGTGATTTAAAACATTGAATAATTCTGCATGATATATGTAAACTGTTTTTCTGTTTTCAAACTGCATAAATAAATTACTGATGTTAAAGTGTAACATGGGTATGTATCAATATTAACATTTCCTAATTGTAAATTTTCCATTTTCAGATCCGAGTAGTTAATGCATTTCAAATGGACCTAGATACCTCTCATTTAGACAGCTACGATAAACGAAGTAGGCCATCACTAATTAGCCTACAGTCGCTCCAGCAGAAATCTGGGGTATCAAAAAAGCCGATGCTTGCAAGCTCACCAGAGGTTGAGGAGAGTCGATCATCGCCATGGTTAGGACATCAAGATAGTATACCATATGCTGATGAATAATATGTGTACAGACTTTTTATAACCTTAAAATTTACAGTGGGGCATTTCATTATGATCCTTCAAATATCAATTACTGGTAGATGTTGAATATTATTTAAATGAACAAAAATGCATACAAGACTGCTAAAAATGTCTGATCATTCATTTGGTTTGTTACTACAGTAGAAATGAACAGAGATGTGTGTCTTTAACTTAGTGAAATGTCTGACTTGAGCTTTTAGGGTTTTATGTATTTAGTTGCATTGCTTTCATATTTTATTTTAAAACAGCAGGAGTGGATCTATCGGCATTCAGCCTGTTGGTTCTTCTTAGTTCCAGTAAATCAGTTAAGAAAATTACAATCAGTTTTGAATACAGATTGTCGGATTACAAAACTTATAATAAATTATGCATGTACAAACATTAGGTTGTGTATAATGATTAGAAAAATTCCATTGTATCAAATTACATCAAAACAGAAAAATTGTACATCTAGAACCACTCCTGTATTTGACTATGTTGTTTTCAGTGATAATGTAACCGTTTTCAGGGTTTTAGCTTGTTCTGTGTATAATTATAGTTTGAACATACTATAGTACTTTTGTACTTTGATTTTTTTCATTTTTTAAGTTCATATCTCTTGCAAGTCTTGAGCTTATAGTATATTGCTTTTCTATATCTTCAACACAGTAATTGGAGTACTTGGTAGCTCTTTTTTCAGAAATGGTGCTAATATATATTGGATTTTAAAATATCAATTTGTACAAAAAAGGGATTTTGGTCAGCTTTTAAAATTACACCAAACCAAACTTAATTTCTTATACCAGAGGTTCATGATGCTTTGATAGCAAGATCAAGTTCTTGTAGTTTAACAAGATTTTTCACACATTTATTGTTTGAGATCAACAAGCATGCCTGTTCTACTCTTAGACATACTTTTATTCAATGTTTTGTAAATTGAAAAACAGAAAAAAAAAACAGAGTTATCAAGTACACCAGGCTACGAGTGTTGAATAAATTGAATATAGAAACTTGTACATATACAGAGAATTATTTATTATCTTTTGTGTATATAGTTTAGATTGTTAGTGATAACATATTTATAAGTTCATACACAATGTTATTTTATCAGTGCAAATAGTGGCTAAAATAACATTTACAGTCACATACTTTTATCATTTTGAATATTTAGTTTTCACGTTTTTTTTTTATTTGAATTCTAAAATGAATCACCTTTTCTGCTATTGTTATGGATCGGATAGGTCTGAAGCTAGATGGAATGATATGAAAGTAAAATATATAAAATTATTACATGCATGAGATTATAGCACTATTTATAGGAACTAAAATAGAATACTCAGCAAGATTTATAAAATGAAATGTAGTACCTCTACCTAGCTCAAGGAGACTAGAGTAACTTATCTTTGTGAATAGAGTTATTCCCCTTGAAGTGCAATGTGGAGAACTTGTCTTAATAAAAGAATCAATTTTCAGATGTTAAACATAAGGTAATCTTTATGTATAATATAAAACAAATACATTCCTTTTTTCTGGGTGTAATACTTTAATTAGGATAAAACATAAAGGGAGATTACTCTTGTAAAAATATTAAGAATTGAACTACAGTAAGGGGGATTACTCTTGAGCAAGGAAAGTGTTAAACTTTGTTATATATTTATGATCATGTGACTAATTGTGTCTAAATGTTGAATGATATAAGGGTAATATTTGTAATATTATGTATAAATGGCTTCTGTTTACAAGAGTTATTTCATTTCAAGATGATGTTTTAGGTAACTATGCATTTTAATGTTTTTATTCAAAAGCTTTTCAAATTAAAATGCATATCATCAACTGTTGAGATCATTTGAAAAATGTAGAAACAAAAGAAATAGTTACATATCAAGATATAAAGTATAGAATTAAAACAACTGATTTATGTTAAATTAATTTATTATACTAGTCATATCAAAAAAGGGACTGATGTTTACTAGAAAATAAATAATGATTTAGATTTTTTATTTATTTATCAAACCTAAGCTTCTTTAATCAACAGAGAATATAATGCTAAATTTATAAGAGAATTTTAAAGTTTTAATATAGCATACACATGACCATAGATTCTATCACCAGACATGCATGTATGTAGCTTCTAATATGCATTAGTGTAAAATATTCAATATTTAAACTATTTATTTTTGTTAGTTTTATATTAATTTTGTGTCTACAACAAGGATTGTTTATTTTAATGTCTTAGTTATTTTATTTTAAATTAAACTAAATATTTGTTTTGATTTTATCTAAAATGAACATTATGTTGTATATATTTATTTCTGACAAAAATCTAAGATTTCTGCAGTTCCATGACACAAAGTAGAAGGTATGGTAAGACCATTTTTTTCTTGGGTATCAAAATAAAAAAAATAATTAAGAAGAGAAACTTATCATCTTCCAGACATTTACAAGACAACATATTTCAATAATGGTAAAATTGTATTTTAAATTACAATTCTGTTATAGGTGCGTGAACGTACCGTATGGATTGCAGTTTCTAATTTTCATTTCTGGAGTGAATTTTGCAATTAGACATAAACTAAGGTTGCTACTCTCACGTTAAGTTGACCTTCAAAAGTTTTGACCTTTACAGTTAAGGCCAATCTTTTATTAAATGCCAAAGAACTTGACATCCCAAACTATTGATTTTGAGCCCACATTTTTTAACTGACTTGTTTTGTGTTTTCATGTACATTTAGTTAGTCATCTGATTGAGATTAAAAAGGGGGAGGGTTGAAATCTAAAAATGACAAGCTTAACCCCTCCACATATTCATGAGCCTGTCCCAAGTCAGGAACGTCATAAGTTATTGGTTTTAGTTATATCTTATAAATGTTTGTCCTATAGGGAATTGGGTGTCGATGATAGATGTTTAACATTCTCAGTTGATTTGATTCACAACATTTCTAGACCATGGTAAATAGAGAGCTTAAATATTGTGTAAACATTTGTTGATTATTGAAGATCAAAAGTGACCTCCAGTAGGTTTTTTTGTGTCTTTGGATTACTTTAAAATTTCACCCATATCTTTTATTTACACCAATATAGGATTTTTTTTCGAAAATTTGTTTAGCAATGATCAGTATTTACATTTATATAACATAATGGTGCTTATCATACCTCTATTATGATGACTATCAAAGTATTATCTGCTGTGGATTGTTTCTTTGGTATGGAGCAATTTTACATAATCTTCAATTTATTATATAACATTTAACAATTAAATGTTTGACCTTGCTTTTTATGTTACAGCTATACAAAACACTTAACTCAAACTAATTCTTTCAAGTTTTAATGAATGTACTACATGTACATTATAATTGTACTTCATATGAAAACACTAAAATTCTTTAGGAGCTCTTGACTTTAGACTGAAATCAGTGAAGTAAAAATGAACTGCCATACTGAATACATTGTAAATATGCATGTTGAAACATCTGTTAGTGATGTGATTCATGTGACCTTTAAAGTTGCATGCTAAACAATTGCCAATGATTTTACCTTCATCAGTATTACTGAAATTGGTTCAAGATAATTTGACAAACACAGAAAAATTTGTTACACATAATTATTAAAGTTGACCTAAGGATTAATTGATTGATTGATTGTTGGTTGCTTACATCCAGTGGCAAATATTTCACCCAAAGAATTAAAGACCTTGGCTTATATTCATAATTGTACAGGCCCTGTATCTTAACTGTTAAAAGTTGAAATAGTAAAGTAATTTGTCAAGGTCACTCTAGAGGTCATTGTCCTTCCTTTTGTATAGGACCACTCAAAGATCAAAGAAGGCTAAGTGTAAACCCTAATCCTTTGGTATTTTAATAGCAAATGGAAAAACCAGTTAAAATGAATATACCCACCCCACTTAAAAATTCAATTCAATATGAATTTACAAATATAAACAAACAAGTGTGCTCGCTCTGCATATGGTTGGATTATCCGAAATTGCTTCATAATCTCAGACTAAATACCATAAACACTCAGATTTATCAAAACATATCACTCAGATTAAGAATATTGCATGGTTAAGAGAATTCCAAGTATACAAAATTGTTTAAATTTGTGCAAGATATAAAACTAATGTTAATTTTTTTTTTAAATTCATGTCTATGCTGCAGTTGCCAGAACAAAACAGTACAATCTTTACCTCCTCTCTTAAACTAATTTTCTCTTTTCAGATGTTCAAGTTTCAAGAGAAAATGACCAATAATTTACGAAAAATCAAGACTTGCAAGAATTTTATGTATTGTGAAGTCATAGCTAGTAGATTCTGTGTAGAACTGTTGTGTATTATGTACCCGTTCAGCTTGTTAATTTTCATTTGAATATGATACATCTTATTTCTTATTGGTTTATAACCCCCATCATGTGACATAATACTTTTTTCTGATTGGTTTGTAATCAATATCATATGAATGAAAACAATTGTGTGCATGTAAACTAATTTGTTACAATAAAATACACATTGAATGAGAACAAATGAACAATGTACATATAAAAAAGAATTTGAGTGTCACTGCATGTTCAGATATTGCACGATGTAAATATATATTCAACCATCTTTTTTCCAGCCTTAGCCATCCCTGCACAGAATCCTCATTAAATTGGAATCAAATAAACTTCCAGTTGTAATTCATTCATTAAACAGATAAAGAAATACTTAATTGAATGATATGCCAAAAGAAAGCGGTTCACTTTTACTGAGAACTGGTATACAAAATCAAATGATTAAGCAAGATATATACTGGGGAAAAATGTTCAAAGTTAAGATATCATGCATGTGCTTAATAAAGACAAAGATATTTTTGGTACCACATTATGATTATTGAAAAAGTAACTTTATGCTTTGAATTTAGATCAATACCATTACTGATAGTTATTGTTAGGTTCTACAGAATCATTTGGCTGACATCACTTTTTTGGTAACTAAAATGAGTAATTCCATTTTGTAGGTACAATTTCTGTCATTTATATGACTTTAAAACTCATATTTAAGACTCAAAGTTTTTGTCTTGTTCTGGATCATTTGATTTTGGTATAAGGGTTGTCAGGAATTATTCTCTGAACTCAAAACTAAGCTCAGGGATGTATCACAATTCTGCTATGAGTTTGAATACTTCAAGTATTGCAATATAGTAAAGAATGATCAACATTTGCATTTCTCAAAATCAAAATAGCTTCAAAGTCCCATAAAAATGATGCATCAATACACCATTGCTTAAATCTAATGTCTTTACTTTTTACCCTTAATTCATTAATTGTTTCAGAATGTGAATTTTGTGCAAAATATCAGCTAGTTTTAATTAAAAATTATGGTTTATATATAATAAATATTTCAAGTATGTAAACATCTCAAGAGTAAAAAGTTACTTGTCATGCTTATTATCTCCCCTTATCTTCCTTCAGTTTTATGTAAAAGGAGAGAATTGAATCATGTAACTTTCAATATTTTTTACAACTTTACCTAAATGTATGAAGTTAATTAATATTGGAGTAGTGCAGATCATACTTGATGTATTGAAATTATTATGCATTTAAACATGATTTATGTAAGCTATGGTTTAAACTTTGTTCGAGTGAAATTTGGCTATATTTTGCAAAGAAAATGATTCAAACAGCAACCACTCTAGCTTTGTTTATGCCTAAGTCTTTTGATGAAAAAAGAAGTGTTTCTAAATAAGTGGGGAGTTACTTTACCCTTATTTGGGTAAAAACATTTTTCTCAATTTAGTGGAAGAAGCCTATCTGTCTTGCTTCTTATCAGCCTTAAGATAAGTAGTTTTTAAAAAGATATGTCTGTATGTTATATGTCAATTCAATAAATAGCTGCATGACTTTTAGATGCTTTTCCTATCTTTCCAAGCTACTAAACCTGAAACAAAATTGACCAGTTGAAAATTGCTAAAATGTGTTGGTATGATGAATCATTAATGTTATGTGAAGAGAAGTGTTTGAGCCATTACATGGCCAAGTATTCCATTCCCTTTAACACCATTTATGTGTGTATATGTTAGATTTTGATATTTTTACCTTTAGCCTAATTGTTCTGTACATACAAGATTGAAACTAGTTCATTGTGATATTATGAATATTTAATGATTTCTATAAATTGATTTGACATCTCATTAGATACATACATTATACATGTATATACTGTATTGTTTTTAGATGTTACATGTTATAAATGTCTGACTTGGCTTACTATTAGATTGTAGAAATGGTTGTAGGATTTTATTTTTTTTTATTTTCTTGGAAAGGGATATGCCAAAGGAGAAGGTATGATAAGGCCACTTTTTGGCCCCTTGAATTCATAAGTCAAAAATTATTATCAATTATTCAAATAACATCTTTCACATGTTCACAAGACATCAGTATTTTTACTTTTGAATTGTGTCAAATATTCATGTGTTGGGGCTTCATCTTTCTTGTCATTTGGGTTAATCTGTAAAAACTTCCAAAATAGCCTCATTTTGATAATTTGTCATTAATATTTAGAAATGAGCAAAGGCATTACCTTCAAAGAAATTTTTGCTGGAAGTTGTCTTATACAAAGATGTTAATGAGATTAAAATATCTTTTATGGGTAAGGACTTGAATAAATTTACTAATGTACCAAAAAGTATGTGTACAATGGACATATAGATCAACTAAGTTCATTTTTATGACCTTGAACAATTTTTTTTTATTTTAAGTGATATATTTAGAAATGAGCCAAGGTATAACCTGAAAAGATATATAACTGTAAGCTGTCTTATACAAAGATGTTAATGAGGGTAAAATATCTTTTTGGGTCAGGCCTTGGCTGACCTTACTCATTGTATCAAAAACTATGTGTACAATGGCCATGTTTGGTCATATGCGTTACTGTTTCTGACCTTGAATCAACTTTTTAGAACTGAAGCGTCCAATTTAAATCATTCTTTTCATTTATTGTCAAAAACAAATCTTATTTTCAAAGGATTGATGAATTTTATTTTAGTAATTTCAGAAGCCAAATAATAGCTCTTGTCATACCTCTACCTTTATTGTATAATGTACTTTAATTTTAATATTTTTTTAAACTTACAAAGCAAATTTTTAATGTCCTTTGCAGGATAGGGTTCTGTTTAAATCCTTTTCTTCAGCACTGAAAGTAAAAACTACTGCAAAAAGACTTAAATTTGGAGTGATAGTGCTCACGCAGACTAGTTCAAAATATATTTACAAAATGAGAGATTTATTAAGAATAAACAACTAAAAATAAATGTTGTATTTTGTCAATATAAGCCATTTATAAGACATTTGAAGTGTAAATTTTTTTTTTTAAAAACTGTTATTCTAGATTCGATATCTGTATTTTACTCCAGAGGAGCCAGACATTATATCTGATTCTGTCATTAAATATTCATATTGTCATTGATAATAATATAACATTTTTATTGTTTTTAGAACATGATTGTTGCTTTATTGGTAGTATTGTTATACAAAGCTATTTATAACATGATACATGCCAATGTGTTAAAAAAAAGCAGGAAAAATAGTTCAAACTTTTGTATTAATAAGTCAAATTTCCTAAATCTTTCTAGATTCCTTGTCAAATGCTAATTCTTAGTTTTTAAGTAAATAGTTTTAGATATACAATGGAGTCTTATTCTAATTTATCTGTGTATAGTGTAATTGAAGTGGTATTGAGGTAATCTATTTTAAATCTATTTTTAAAAGTCAACATTGTTTTAAGACATAACACCTTTAGATGAAATCAGTATTGTTACAGATAGTATAATATTTATATTTCTGACAATGTTCTTTTATCTTGTATTTAAATCATTATGTTTTAACTTAAAAATATAAAAGGTATTGCTTTTTTTCTGCTGACATTTAACATAAATTTAACCGGCATTATCATGGGTTATTTCCCTTGACATGCTGAGAGGATTGTTATCCATCTAAGAGTTAGATATTCTAGATAATGTTAAACGTGTAAGTTCTCATCATATTTGTAATAAAACCAATTTTTACAAAGATTTCCTCTGTTTATTGATTTTCCCTTGTCATCATTAAAGAGTCCACTAGAAGCTATTCCAATCCATCAGTCCCTTCATTCCATCCCAAAACTGTATTATTTGTAAATTATATAACTGTTTGAAGAATTGTGGATTCTCATGTGTGAGCAATGTCACCTTCAGTTTTCTGATTAATTCAGGGGAAATGTAAGGGGTTCCATGATGTGCATTCCCCCAATGTTGACCAGATGTTTGCCAGAAATATGTTGAGCACACCCTCTGAATTCGAACCATCACCTGATTTTTACTGGTCATGAGGAACTTATAAAATTCATACCATTAGATCTAGAAGTGCTTATCCTCTTGGAGAACCTGAGTTAACCTTATCACCCCAACCCAACCCCTTTTTTTTGGAGGTGCATTTGTTGGCCAGTATGTTCCTAGGATGTTTTGTAGACTTTTGTTTGCCTGTTCACATTTTTATGCCCCCGCCGTAGCGGAGGGGGCATTAAGTTTTACCCTTGTCCGTCTGTACGTCCCAAAGTTGGTTTCCATTCTCTAACTTTAGTTTGCCTCAACCAAATGTTATGAAACGTATACACAATGCTTATTACCACTAAATACAGATCAAGTTTGAATTTTGGTGGCGTCACTTTTACCGTTCTAGAGTTATGCTCCTTTACAAATAGAAAAATTGCTAAATTTTTCGTTTCCGTTCTCTAACTTAAGTTTGCCTCAACCAAATGTTATGAAACTTATACACAATGCTTATTACCACAATATACAGATCAAGTTTGAATTTTGGTGCAGCCACTTTTACTATTCTAGAGTTATGCCCTTTACAAATGGAAAAATTGTTAAATTTTTCTCCTTTTTTTTTTCTTAATATCAAGTCATTTTTAAAATTGGAGTCATCTTCCTTTGTCCATGATTATAGTTGAATCAACTACAATCAATGCTTTATACAATGCAATGTTTAATTTTGCCTTCCATTGATAAATTAAAGCAATTGTTACCCTTCATTTCTAAAAATATTTTAAAGTCTTCTTTGAAAATTGGAGTTATCTTTCTTTGTGCATAAAGGTAGTTGAATCAACTACAACCAATGCTTTATACAATGCAATATATAATTTTACTCCCTACTGATCAATTTAAGCAATCTTTACCATTCAGTGCTTACAAGCACTTTGATTACCGTTCTAAGGTTATGCCCCTTAACAAATGAAAAAATTGCTGAATTTTTCGTTTCCGTTCTCTAACTTCAGTTTGTCTTAACTAAATGTAATTTCTAAAAATATCAATGTCATTATTCAAGTAATTTTTCAAATTGGAGTTAACTTCCTTTGGTCCATGATTATAGTTGAATCAACTACCATCAATGCTTTTTACAATGCAATGTTTAATTTTGCCTTCCACTGATAAAACACAGATCAAGTTGAATTTGGGTTGTGTCAATTTAACCATTATTGAGTTATGCCCCTTTATAAATCGAAAGATTGCAAAATTTTTAGTTTCCATTCTGTAACTTAAGTTTGCCCCAACCAAACATTATGAAACCTATACACAATATTCATTACCTCAAAACTAATATAATGTACAATTTTTTATGCCCCCGCCGTACCGGAGGGGGCATTAAGTTTTACCCTTGTCCGTCTGTACGTACGTACGTACGTACGTACGTCCCGAAATTGGTTTCCGTTCTCTAACTTGAGTTTGCCTCAACCAAATGTAATGAAACTTATACACAATGCTTATTACCACAAAACACAGATCAAGTTTGAATTTTGGTGGCGTCACTTTAACCGATCTAGAGTTATGCCCCTTTATAAAAGGAAATATTGCATAATTTTTAGTTTCCGTTCTCTAACTTAAGTTTGCCTCAACCAAATGTTATGAAACTTATACACAATGCTTATTACCACAAAACACAGATCAAGTTTGAATTTTGGTGGTGTCACTTTAACCGATCTAGAGTTATGCCCCTTTATAAAAGGAAAAATTGCAAAATTTTTATTTTCTTCTAAATATCAAGTTTATATAATATATTTTTAAAATTGGAGTTATCTTCCTTTGACCATGATTATAGTTGAATCAACTACAATCAATGCTTTATACAATGCAATGTTTAATTTTGACTACCACTGATAAAACACAGATCAAGTTGAATTTGGGTAGTGTCACTTTAACCATTATTGAGTTATGCCCCTTTATAAATAGAAAGATTGCAAAATTTTTTAGTTTCCATTCTGTAACTGAAGTTTTCCCCAGCCAAAGATTGTGAAACCTATACACAATATTCATTCCAACAAAACTCAGTAAAGATCAAGTACATTTTTTTTGTTTCAGTTCTCTAACTTGAGTTTGCCTCAACCAAATGTTATGAAACTTATACACAATGCTAATTACTACATAATACAGATTAAGTACGAAATTAGGTGGCAACACTTTTACCATTCTAGAGTTATGTCCCATTATAAACATAAAAATTGCTGAATTTTTTAGTTTGTCTCATCCAAATGTTGTAAAACTTATACACAACCGTTCTAGTTTGTTTCCGTTCTCTAACTTTAGTTTGCCTCAACCAAATGTTATGAGACTTACACACAATGCTTATTACCACAAAACTCAGATCAGGTTCAAATTTGGGTAGCGTCACTTTTACCGTTCTTCAGTTATGTCCCTTTATAACTATATGATATGCAAGCGGGGGCATCATCTGTGTCCACATGTGGACACAATCCACATTTTTTCCTTCTGTGATAGTTTTGTCTCTCTTTTTTCTTACTTATGGTTTTTGATTTGCCCCTTGGTATCTCCTTACTCTTTTTGTTGGGTATACAGATATATGAATTTACTGATAAATTACATTTTTTAGCTCACATGGCCTACAAGGTGAGCATTCAGGCTTTTAGGAGCCTGTTCAGGTTTTTTACAGTTAAGTCAGCTCTTGCATGGTACTGCCACAAATATTTGGACTTTCTTCAAAAGCATAGAAGAGGTATTCCTTATAGCAAACATCTATTATTTACTGTCATGTTCTGTCCCATTTTCATTTGTCCTAGCAAAATAAATGAAAAGTTATAATATATGGATATTATCTTTGTTATATTAAAATTGCCCCATGCTATAACAGTTTGTGTAGGAAACAAACCTTAATCCCTACAATAAATTGTGTCATTATCATGCACAATAAATGTCTTATAATCTTATACCCCATGCTACGAAGTTGCGTATGGCATAATGTTTTCATCCCGTCCATCTTCACATTGTCGTCGCCATGCTAGTGCCTTCATGTTTTACTTCAAAAAGGCTTTTATATGTCCTTTCATTGAATAATTCATAGTTTGGGAACTTGAATGCATCTATCTCATTGAAGTTTGAATGAATGATACTACCATAGTATAGTCAGTGCTTCGGCACTGGCATGACTTATAACATTCCCCGTTCATGAATTAAGAAATTAAGGTTCCAACTCAGGTAAAATTAACCTTAGATGAATTTGGCTTTTTCTGTTTTGGTCCTCTTTTGGTCATATAGCTCCTAACGTTGCAGCGTATTTACGTGGCATACCTGGTTTTCAAGTGTTTTGGTTTGAGCTTTCCTATTGAAGGTTAATCCGGCGTTTGGGACTTACGAAATTTATAAGGTGTTTATTTCATTTCCTTTCTGGTCTTGCATTTAGAAATCAACAGTTAGGGTCGGATTTAGAACTAATCTCTAAGATAAAAGAGATGAATTTCCCCATTGTGAACTTTCTATATGTAGCAAAACTTGGAGTATGTCTCTCCCGGTTGATAGGGTATTCCGGAGCTTGCGTTTCATATCGGTATTTCTTTTCCTAGAGAGTTGCTGCTTACAAGGGAGTAGCTAATATAACTTTCTGAATGTAAAGGAGTAGGTCCGGTAAGGGCCGATTTTGGCCTCAAATTGCAGGTTCATATGACAAAGGATTTTGGACACTTTTTCAACACTAAAGTGTCTATTTCAATTGATTCTATTAGTTTATGTGAAAGATTTTAACTGATTTACTCATTAAAAACGCTCCGATTCAAGCTTAAATATGAAAAATATATTAAATAAGCCAAAAATGTCACTTTTCAGATGGTTTTTGTCAAAAATGAAAGTGGCCGCATCCGTGTTCATCCTCAACCTTTATATATGTTATGTATTATCATCAAATACAACTTACATTTCAATATTAAGAATGAACACAAATGCGGCCACTTTCATTTTAAACGGAAACCGTCTAAAATTTAACTAAAATGCTAAAATTGTGAAGATTTCAGTAATTTAGCCTGGCTAAAGGATGCTAGTACCCGATATATGTGCATTGTATTGTCAAATACAGCCCATATTCATGTAGCAGAAGCATTCTTCTTACCAATAAATAACTTAAAGTTTACATTTTAACAATTTTGTAAAACTGCTATATTTTGGGGCCAAAAAGGGGTCTTACTGGACCTACTCCTTTGAAGTCGGTTTTTTTTTTACGATCTTAAACAACTCAGTGCGTACTATACACTGCCGATTACGGTAGCCGTTAAAAGAAATATTTGTCACACATGAACATAATTCCCTTCGACTTTCCATCACTTGACGTCCGTCGTTCGTCCTTCGTTATCCGTCATCCGTAAACTTTTCTTTAAAGATTATGTCCTTTCATTGATTAAAATCTTCCCCTAGCTGAAACCACTCAATGAATTAATTACATAGATTGTCTGTTACATCTATACGATGTTTACCATAATGGTTGTTTCTTTGGAGTCCAGGTTGATCAACCAACACTGCCACCATGGCTTGAAATATAACAAACGGGTCAAATTGCAGTTTTTGAAGGATACCTCAGTGACTGCAGCCATTAGGGATAAACGTGGTTAAAATGGTCAGCTGACTAAAAATTCTATCTACTGCTGAAAATTTAAGAAAGTGTTTGGCCCCTTTTTGGTGTTATTGCCCCAAAAATCATTTTGAGCAATTCTTTGACCTATATTGGTTTACTTTTATAAATTTTGACTTGGATG